GCCGATCAGCAGGAATCTGATTAACATAAATCCAAATATGAACAAATCTTCAACATCCTCAATGGAAAGTGGGGCCAGGCAGATGATGTTCCACCCCCAGGACCCAGACACACGGCCCGCCGCGACAGTTCCACTCGGACAGCTACGTTCCCCTCGCTCCAATCTCAGTGTGGAAAAAATAGTGTCGATTGCATTCAGAGACCAGTTGACCAAATCCATAATTCCTTTGTTATAGAATGATAGGTAGAAGAAAGTCTTGACACAGCTGCAAAGCAGGGAAAGAGGGATAGGTTTGGGAGAGAGAGCAAAAAGCGTCCGGCTCCTCTGAAGGCCAAGCAGGGAAAAAAATCCTTAAAGAGAGTGTATCTGATTATCTGATTTCAGTCAAGCATTGTAGCCATTTTGAGCCAATCATCATTAAGTGCAGCTTTCCACTCTGACAAGTCTTCATGATAGCAGTCTTTAATTTCAGGTAGAATCCTCATCAGAGACCTTCATAGTGTTGTCCAGGAATCGTAGGACTGGCAAGACCACAGAACATGAGACATAAAACTCTCCACCAAGAAGCTCAGTCACATATCTGTGGTGAGAAAGAAATAAAAATGAATTAGTTAATCAATTATAGTGATCAATTTAGGCAATAATAATTAAGGAAATAATTAACATTGTTCCATTTACCTGCATGGTTCAAGGATAGCGGTCAACTTCTCTAGTCTTCTCTACTCTGCTGCTGATAATAAGACCAGTGTGTGCCTCTGTTGGTCCAGTGTAGCCTTTACTGCCTCTTTGTTTTTGAGAAGATGACCGATCAAATAACAGTGTGGAGTTCCACGTTGTGGAAACATCCTGGATTAGGGGTTCATTTTCCTGGTCAAGTGCCCTTTACTCTTGATACAGTTCCATTGTGTTGGCTGGACTGTGTCTGAAATGACCCACAACTGTGCAGCACTTTTGTCAGTACATCGTTAAATCCACAACTGTCCAGTCTCTCAGTGATGATCTCCGCAAAATATGTGCAACACATGGCATGTGCTGAAATGGGAGCGACTCAGCCACAGATAAAATGGTCTGCACAGTTTACTGCATAATGTCTTGTGTTGACTTTTTCAATAGTGAAGATGAAAGATGCTAATTGCCATTTTTTGTTGACAACGCACATAGTGTGTGTGGTCATGCCAAGGTAGTAAGAATTGTTGATGCAAGTCCAATGGTCTCCGGTCAATGTAACAAACTCAACTGCATTCAATATGTCTTATTTTGACTGCTTTTCGACATCATAAAGCTGCTTAATCTTACTCGCCATGGTTTTTCAACACAGAAGTTTGTAAGCAGGGTCAGATGTCGCAATCTGTAGCACAGACTGTAGCCCACTATCCTCTACCACTGAAAGTGGTCTGCAGTCTGTTGCGATCCATTTAGCCCGGGAGTTGCTTAATTTCTCTGACATAGACTTACTTATTTTGGCCCTGAAACCTGTCATCTGGTCCAGTGTGGGCTGGCTGGAGCGTTTATTTGTAAGTAAGTAAGTAAATAAGTAAGTAAGTAAGTAAGTAAAGTTTTATTTATAAAGCGCCTTTCACAGAAATATATTCCCAAGGTGCTGTACAATCATTAACAAAGTAAAAATTGTGTAAAGATAAAAGGAAACAGAAATAAAACATAATAAAACATAAGCAACGTAATGAAATATCAAATCAAGATTAAATTCTAAAATTGTAACTCAGACACACGGTCAATGCAGAGCAAAATATACAAATAATACACAAAACATGGAGAATGGGGGAGAGAAAAATATGCCTGATGTTCAATAATAGAAAAACACAGATTGGCGAGCACTCACTA